TTTTTTTTTTCCATCTGATTATTGACAACATGAAGAAAGAGACAACAGGGCTTTTTATGGCAAGAATTCACATTTTATAAAGTGAATTCATCACAACACTTATTCTTAACTATAAAAATAGAAAAATGCTTCCCTGCCATACCGTCATAAACTCAGTACTTCAATTACTTCCCATGCAGTTCACTTCTTTATTCCTTCTTCCTCAGCTTAATACCAAAAAATTTTGCGAAGCAATCTAAATCATAAGCTAAGCATACCTAGGTTGATAGGATGTAGTTAAATCCCATTTACTCAAATCCATGAAGGATGTTTCAGACAATTTCATTTTATAGATATATTCATCCAAGAAAGAAATAGATTGGACAAACAACATTTGGCAACAATGGCATATGATGTTCATTGAGATGACTATCACAATTAATTCGACTTTTGATCCTGAATTGCTTTTAAAAAGAATTGAGGTTCTCAAGGGTCAAAAGATGAATGTTGTCTTTTGCTCTTTGAGATTGAACTCAAGACAAAAAAAATTAAAGCCTAGTGCCAAGATTTCTTTTAGAGTTTAGCCTATCTACCTCTCCTTGTAAAACATAACCACAAGGAAACTGGAATCTACCTTTTGATCAATGATGACAACAACACCCTGACTTTCTACCGATTATAAAGTTCTTTATACTTGTATAATCACCATGTCTAGCATTATCTAATACTAACCATTACAAGAGGAAAAAATAAATGTAAAGAAAAAAGTAGATGAATATGTTCTAAAACAATCCCAGTAATTCATGTAAAGAGGCAATAAATGAGGATTTGCAACCTGCCATAAGCACAGGTGATCCTGCCTCACTTTTTATATCTGACAAAAGGAAACAATAGAGCATATATAAAGAGTTTCCATTACCAAGGTTCTATAGAAAAAGCAGAACATTCTTGGACAACCCTTAAATCACTAGTTTAACCATGATTTCTCTGGAAGATGTCTATCATGTTGTCGCAACCACTGTCCCGTTGTACTTTTCCATGAATTTGGCCTACATCTCTATGAAATGGTGGGGGCTCTTTACACCAGAGCAATGTGCTGGCATAAGCAAGTTCGTAGCTAAATTCTCAATCCCACTATTGCCTTTCCAGGTAATCTCAGAAAACAACCCCTACAAGATGAACCTCAAACTCATAATTGCTGACTTTCTTCAAAAACTACTAGCCTTTGTAGTTTTGTTAGCCATCAGCAAATTCAGCTCCCGGAGAGGTTTAACATACATCATAACTGGCCTCTCTCGATCAACCCTGCCTAACACTTTAATCCTGGGATTCCACTGTTGAGGGCCATGTATGGAGATAAATCAGCTGCACTACTCGCTCAGATAGTTGCCCTACAAAGCTTGATTTGGTACAATTTACTGATGTTTCTGTTTGAGCCAAACGCTACAAAAGCAGCCTCTGAGACGCTACCTTCACAAGACACAGGCAAACATTCAAACTTTGCTTTACATATTAACATGGATTAGTTTCATAAACTTGAACTTTTCGTCATCCAAAACTTCAATTTAAACTCACAAAATCAATGGTCGATTGAATTTCAAGCTAGTTCAGTCAACTTTAGTAACAAAAGATAAATCAAGTGGTTCCAGAATACATATGGGGTTTCCCTCCATCTCTCTTTTATAATGAAGTTGCTGTACATCTCTCTTTTTCTTTTCTCATGTTTTCTTTTTCAGTTAAGTTTTCTTCATTCCTGTTGCATGTGCATCAAGTAAGATCTTTGACGTAAACATAGCCAGAAATTTAATATTTTAACATAAGATTATGCAATGACTACTAAACCATGATCTTGATGTGTCAGTATAACATGCTTTCTTCAATATATCATATTGTTGCTACTATTTTTTTCTGAATGAAGGGGATCAAGAGGCCCCTGCTGAAGCACAAGGGGAGGGAGGAGAAGAGGCGCACACCAGACCAAGGAAATCCAAGGCTATATTCATTTTCTGGACAGAGGGGCTCATGGCAAATCCTAATACTCACGCAACCTTACAGGGGTCTTATTTGGGCAAGCATACAATTCGGTTTGGAATTTCAAGCCCAACTATGGTTTTACATCTTGATGATAGTTATTATTGGTAACTGATAAATTTCTTTAACTTGCTGTGTTCTACTATGAAGTAATGGGGCTGAAATCTCTTGTAGGTGGAACATAAAATTCCCAAGCCATTATTGAAAAATAAAAAGCAATATTATGAAGTGGAAGACTTGGTATGGCAATATTCAGCTTAGGTACGATTTTGCACTTCCATTCTTTTATTTTGGTTCAATGATTAGGCTACATAAGAGGTTGTCCTTCCCTTTTCTGCAACTTCAAAAATCCGATCCTCGAAGGGGATGTTACTTGAACCATCAGGCTGACGGCATAGGTTCATTACAGAAACATATTTACCAAATCATGAATAACGTTTTAACATCAATTCTAACTCGTGCTGTCCTGTCATTTAATAGGTCTGTTTTTGGCATCACGACCTAGCATTCATGTGGTATTCGAATGGCAGCAGTGGCGCTGGTCATGAAATTCATGGCCCGTCCTGCTCTAATGGCAGCATCCTCTACCGCCCTCAGACTTAGAGGCAGATTATTAAGAGTGGCAATTGTGCAGGTTAGTCAACTTTTCAATTATTCTTAATATCAACCTGCAATCAAGGGAAGAAAAATAAATTACACAATCTACATTTTGCAGGCAGCTCTTCCTCAAGGAGTCGTTCCATTTGTTCTTGCCAAAGAGTACAATGTTCATCCTTATATATTAAGCACAGGGTAATCTACATTACTTAGCATCTGAAGTTTTCAACATTATCTTTTCATTTGGATCCATTGAATCATGAAGTTTTTGGTTAGTTGTTGATTTCAGGGTAATCTTTGGCATGCTTATTGCCTTACCTGTAGCATTGATCTACTATCTTCTTTTAGCATTGTGAAATTCCTAGAGAATTCTGCTAAGTTTTTTCAGAAACAGTAATAATTTCTACACCTCATGACACCAAATTCTGGGAAATGGTCAAAAGTTTCATAGAAGATCAGCAAACTGATCCATGAGATGATAACACTAAAAATTAGACAAAGAAATTCTAAATTTTACCCATCTTTCACTCTATCAAAAAATGAAAAATTCATGTTCAAATCACCATATTAATACACTACCAATTGATCAAACATTTTCATAGAAAATCGATTTAAGTAGAAATCAGTCATGGATTTTTTTTTTCGAAAAATATCCCACCATGTAAGATAAAAATCTGTTCTAAAATTTAGAACATGGTGAATTTACATTTCATCTCAAATCAATCTTGCATGAATAATATTTGCGTTGTTAGATTCGAAAATCATTTTTCCTAGTGAAACATGATGATATCTAGATTTACAATCATGTATGCAAATGTTATATGAACGTGCCCATTACCATCAGCTTGTGCTTTATTTTAATTTTTTTTTCAAGATTCGAATAGATTACTCTCATTCCCACAAATAATATTAAAGTGTGTAAAAATGTTTAAACCTGTTCACAATTTGTGCATAATGCACGTCGACGTAGCCAACTAGTCTCCATGCATGTGAATTCTAAACGCATCAGGCATTTTTTTATTGCCTTTTTTGTAGTAGATTTAAGAATATATTCATCAGACAACTACCATTCATGTCTCACAATCTTAACACCCTATAATTTATGCATTTTAGTTTTGATGATTTATTTTCCTTAAGGAGAGAAACTTGTAGTTAATTATCCATCAAACATGAAAATTTTGAACTTTTCATTTCATAAATTACGAGTTTTGTTGATGTATTTTCTGGTCCCGAGGCATCCAAGATAGTACTCGAAGACGCATTTTCATACTCAAGTAAGCAATGTAAGAAAAGAAAAAAAAAAAAATTTTTATACCTTATATCTGATGAAATAGTCAGTTGACTTATTAGGTAGTGACTAAATGTTAAATCAATTATAGTTAAAGTGATTATTAATTTATAATCAATAAAATATTAATTTGAGTAAAGTACGTTGATTCGAGTGATAAAAAATTTAATTTTTTAAAATAAAATTATGATTTTTAATCTTATAAATAAAAAAATAAATTTAATAAAATTTATTTTTTTTATAAGATTCGATTCGATTTAATTTTGAATTAATCAAAATCTAAAATTATTATCGGATGCCAAAAAATTTCAAATAAAAAAAATATTGATTTGACTGTTAGGGTTTAATAAGTTTAATTTGATTTATAATAAAAAAAATGAGAAATTTAATGGGTCAAACTTAATTATCCAATTACTTGAAAATTAATTTTGATCTTTTAAAAAATTTCATCAACAATAATATGCTTAATTTTGTTTATATTAGCATAAAGTAGGTAGTAGAAAATGAAAATTTGCTAAAGCTGTCATAAATATTTTTATTCATGGAAATTGTGATGTAATAATTGGCCAATCTTCTAGTAGTTCCAAGACAGTGTCAAAACGGTGTCATTTTCATCTATTTAGGTGCACCATTTTATGTGGCAAAATTTTACACCAATTCCTTTTCGTTTCTTTTGTTTTTTTATTTTATAATTTTAATTTCAATAAATTTGTCTGCAAATTTGACATAAAAAAACTATAAACATCCTTAACATTCTTGAATTATTAAAATTTATAAATAATTTCTAAAAAAATGTTTTCTTCTTATTATATTAATTAAAATTTTGAAAAAACTTTTGTTTCATAAAAGAAATGAAATTCAAAGAATTAAAAATTCGGGAAAAAGAACACAAAGAGTATAATTGAAAAAGAATTTAAAATAGTGTAATTAATTATTATAAATATTTTTTAAACAAAAATGTCGTAAATAAAAAATTTTAAATATTAAAATTTAAATTTATTAAATATTATTTTATAAAATATAATCATATAAATCCAAGTAAACTAAATTTTAGATTTAATATAATAAAAATATAGGTAAGTACTAAAGAAAAATCCACTTCTTGTTAAAAAAGAAAACTCGTTTCTTGATGGCCAAATCCTCAAATTTAAAAAGAAAAAAAAAAACAGTTGATAAATGAAAATAACCCGTGAGAAGACTTTCAATCATGAATCAACGACGGAAACATCCAGAAACCGATTCATCTCCAACATCCAACGGTTCAGTGTTTTTTCTTTAATAAAATAATATTTTAACCAAAACCCCGACTCCCGAAAAGGAAGGAGAAATTAGGGTTTTTGGATTCTCCTATTTATTTATCCACCTCTGAGGTTTTAGGCTTCACTGCTTTTTATTTCCCTCTTTATCATCTAAATTCTTCCTCTGAATTCCAAAGAAAATATCATGGGGAAGGGTCCTGGTCTCTACACTGAAATCGGCAAGAAAGCCAGAGGTATAACATACTATTACTTTAACAAAAATTACTTGTACGTATTTTAAGTTTTAAAGCTGTAATTTCTATGTGCATTTTTTTAATTTTTGGGATTTCATAGATCTTCTTTATAAGGATTATCAGACAGACCAAAAGTTCACACTGACCACCTCTTCTCCAACTGGAGTTGTAAGTTTTTTTTTTTTTTTTAATTTTTTGCTTTTTTTTGTTAAATCGAGTTTTGGTTTTCATTTTCTGGGTTGGTTTTATTTTTGCTCAAAATTATATTTTTAGTAAGGAATTAATTTTGGATGCTTTGTTCTATGAAATCCAAGTTGTGGGTTTTGTCACATTTTATAATATTATTGTGACCTTTTAGCTTTCTTCTTGGGTTTCTTCAGCTTGATACAAAATGAATGTGTTATTTGTTTCAATGAACCTAATTGCTGATTTTGGTTTCATTTTTAGATTTTTTTGGTGGTTTTAGTTTGTAGAACTCTTTTGATGCATGTGTTAATATAAAGTTATGTTGATTAGATAACTGGATGTTAATTTAAGCTGAATTTAAAGATATTTTAAATTTTTTTCAAAGATATATATTTATTGGGATTTTTTTTTTCAGTTTTTAAGTAATTATGGTAGCTAAGTTTAGTGCATTTCTGCCTGTTATGTTTTTAAAGCTTGAAATGTTGAAAGATTTGTGTTTTTAGAGTTTTAGTTTTAGAGTTTTAGCATGGTCATCTCATTCTTTTTACTGCAATCTATTATGCGAGATGTTCGATTTCGTAATCTGCTACAAGAACTTTGATTAATTCTTTGGCATTTGTGGGTGTTTTTTACCTTTATTTTTAGGTTATTACCTCTTCTGGAACAAAGAAAGGGGATCTCTTCCTAACTGATGTTAACACCCAGCTGAAGAATAGGAATTTTACGGCGGATATCAAAGTGGACACCTGCTCCAGTGTAAGTATTTCATCTGTTTTTTTGTTGATTTCTAGTTTATTCGATGTACATGTTTGAGTGCTTGGTTACATTTTTTTTTCCAAGTGAGATGTGATGTTCTTTACTCTATTTGATATTCTTTGGCTTCATCAAATTCCTTTTTAAGAAATTTAGTAGTTATACCTCATCCCCGCTATATTTCAAACCTGTGCTTTTAACTAGGGGAATGTGCCTGATAAAATTGTTTAAAACATCATATTACTGGAGCATGATGTAACTTTTGGAGGGAATGCTATTCTTTGAAGGATCTCTTTGGTTGAGTTTATAGTTCCTCTTTTTCCCCTTATGTTCCTTTGCTATTGAATTTGTATGGCTGCTATATTTTATAAGATCTTTTGAACATTTTTTGTTGTACTAAAGTAGTGTTTGTTTATCAGCTCTTTACCACTATAACAGTTGATGAACCTGCACCTGGGCTGAAGGCAATTTTTAGCTTCAGGGTCCCTGATCAGAGGTCTGGCAAGGTAGGCAGTTCTGTCCTCAAATTTCAATTTGTAGCCTCAGAAACTTCCTCTATCTCGTTTTGGCTTCTCTCTGGATAACATGTTTCAACTGCCTCTAGCATGAATGCAACCTTTTTGTTACTGAGAATGTTTCATGATGCTGTTGGACAATGCTATTATCTTTCTCTTTGTATACCAGGTTGAACTGCAGTATTTGCATGAGTATGCTGGGATAAGCACAAGCATTGGATTGACCGCAAACCCAATAGTTAATCTCTCAGGTGTGCTTGGAACTAACGCTCTTGCACTTGGTACTGATCTCTCGTTTGACACAAAGACTGGGAATTTCACCAAATGCAATGCTGGATTGAGCTTCTCCAATACAGATCTCATTGCTTCATTGGCTCTGTATGTTATTTGTTCTATGTACCTGTTCATATGTGAACTGTCCAGAGTATATATCTCTCGTTTAACATCTTTATTGTTTATTGATGCAGGAATGAAAAGGGTGACTCTCTTAATGCATCCTACTATCATGTAGTGAATCCCTTGACTAACACTGCTGTTGGTGCTGAGGTGACCCATTGCTTCTCTACCAATGAGAACACCATCACTATCGGGACACAACATGCGTTGGATCCATTGACCATGGTTAAGGCCCGGGTGAACAATGCTGGTAAGGCAAGTGCTCTCATCCAGCATGAGTGGCGCCCTAAATCCATCTTTACCATTTCTGGAGAGGTAGATACCAAGTCCATTGACAAGAGCGCCAAGGTTGGGCTTGCATTGGCACTCAAGCCTTGAGCTTTACAGCTCATTTTGAAAGAGTATGGTAGGCTTAGAGTTTTGAAGTGTATGTTCAGAGACTTTTATGGTGTTTGCATCTACTCTTTATTTCAGTGTTTTTTCGTTTTAAAAATAAAAGAGAAAAAAATGGTGGCATAGTGGTTTTAACTGTGTGACATTGGCACTACTGAATTTCCCAAATGTAAAACCTATTTTTAATTCAATTCCCTGCAGTTTTTCTTCATATCGTTTTCATGTAGTGTGGTAAAACAAGAAAAAGTAAAATCTACCCCTTCATTAATTTTACTATAGCAAATTACATTCATATTTCAGAAGAGGGACTGGGAACAGATTTCAGTCATACACCAAACGATCACACCAGCAAAGCTAGCCGTATCAGTTAAATGGCAGAATTTTAACATAACACCAGCCTGTAAAACTCAGCCATTGAAGGGCTCTCATTCCTAATGTTGAGACGCCTGAAGCAACCCATCTCGTATCTGGGTTGCAATGTCTCTAACTGCACCAGGTCCATGAGGGATAAAAACTGATGAGGATTTGGCGGCGGCACCAATTTCCTTCATCGTATCAAAATACTGCGTAATAAGGACCATGTCTAAAACATCCTTAGCAGTCGTCCCGGGCACATTGACTGAGAAGCCAAGCACACTGTCTCTTAGACCATCAACAATTGCCTGGCGCTGCCTGGCAATTCCAACTCCTGAGAGATATTTGGATTCTGCCTCTCCCTCTGCCCTTTTAATCTGTATAATCTTCTCAGCCTCTGCTTTCTCATTTGCTGCAACTCTCATTCTTGCAGCTGTGAAATTTAAAATTATTCAGACTACCAAATCATCATATGAAACAACTAGATGTCACAGTAAGAATTTGACAGATCAAATTGCAGACAATAACTCACCAGCATTAATTTCATTCATGGCCCTTTTCACATGTTCATCTGGTTCTATATCAACAATGAGGGTCTGGACAATCTCATATCCATAAGCAGACATAGCCTAATAATCAAAATGAAGCAAAGCGCTCATCAATAAATTCAATATCGACATCAAGAATCCAACAACTGATGTTAAGATCAGAAGTAAACGCTTTTTACCTTTTCAAGCTCATCTTCAACAGCTTTAGCAATATCATTCTTTTGCTCAAAAGCATCATCCAAATCCAGCTTTGGAACACTTGCTCTGATAACTAAAGAATATGAAAAGAAGAATCGAATTTAGTTTCTTGGTACCATCTGGCAACAATTAAGTCATACCAATTTTTCTCTCTTACCATCAAAAACATAGGCTTGAATTTGTGTCCTGGGATTGCTAAGTTTGTAGAAAGCATCATTCGCCTTCTCTGCCAGGGCACGATATTGTACAGATGCAACAACGTTAACAAAAACATTGTCCTGCAGCAACAATTTTGAATAAAAAACAAATAATAGGGACATATGTGAAAAAAAAAGCCACGTTTCTAATAAGGCAAGAGGAATAGGCTGGCCAGCTTGGAAGAAATTCTTATGCTTAGTGTAACAAGAAACAAACCTTTGTCTTGGTCTCACAACGCACATCTAGCTGCTGTAACCGGAGTGTGAGATGGCCGGAAAGTTGGCTTCCAAGACACCAAGGTAAACAATGGCATCCTGGTTGAAGAACTTCATCAAACTTTCCAAATCTTTCCTTAATAGCAACTGTTGATTGTTCAACTTGAATACAGCACAACAAGTTGCCCATGCTGTCCTTTTTTTAATCTATCTGGTCTTTTTCTATGTAAGAAACAACATAAAAAAGAAAGGAACAAACTTCAGAACAGAAACAAATGTCTATGCTATAAAATGGACATAATTCATGTAGCAGCCGTGCTATCAAGTTGTCTTCATTTAGAGATTATAGTCTAGTTAATGTGAGAAAACATAAAGTTTGTTTGTTGGACAATTACCAATCTTGAGGATTGGTCACCTGATTCAAAATTTTTGTTGTTAGAAGCAAGAGATTATATTTTTCAACAACTAACACCAAAGAATGATCCCGCGTTCCTGAAGCAAAATCCTTCAGCTTCTTTTGGCAAAGCAAGATAAGCATAAGATTAAGTTTGGCCTAAGAACAAAACAATTAGACTTGGATATGACATGATTCAGAAAAAAAAATTTCAGAATTAAAATTATTATCAATTAATCAGACCGAAAAAGCAGCAAAGGCGCATGCACTACATATTCAAGCATATATGCACGCGCATATATACATACAGACAGAAAGAGAGAACATACCTCTAAGTGAAGTTTGAAGGAAGAAAAACAAGGATGATATATATAATGGCACACATATAACCAGAAAAATCTCCTAGCCATATTAGTCCAAAGTACAAAATTTTCCTTTCTTAAAAAAATATCATATCCCAAGATTCATTGGTTTTATTTTTAAAAATCATATCCCAAGCTTCCAACCAATGAATGTCAGCAGACTTGCTGCGACTTATTTTAATGCTGGTGCATAAAAGTCAAAGAATTGGATTGATATTTGAATTATATGTAGTTGTCAAATGGATGTTGAAATACTTAAAAAATATCAACCCAAGAAATAAAACTCCAAGAGGGAATTAATCTATGCTGTATTGAATAATTTGATGTGGCTAATGATGGTATCCTTTTGTATTTTTATTAAGTTCTTATCAGATTTTGATGTAGACATCAAAAATCAAAACATTGGTTTTTACAGTCTATCTTTATACAGGGAAAAAAATAAAAAGAAATTGTCACCAATTAAATTTTAGCTGTCAATCAACAATTCAATAAGATTATCAGGTTTCATAAACAAATGGGGCAATTGCTTTGTTTCAAACACAAGGAAACAAGAGAGAGAGAAGGGTGGAAATTACAAAGAAGATTACCATTTAATCTAAAATGTTGCTTGCTATAATAGGGTTACATCTTGTTCTTTCACAATTTTTTGCATGAAAATAAAACTTCTGATATGAAAATTTGCGTGTTATCATGATACAAAGATGAAAAAACCCTAAATTTGGAAGTGGAAGACAGAGAGGGGGGGGGGGGGAGGTAGAGTAGGCAGGTAGGTTGAGGTGTTGAAGAGTGTATAATTATGATTGTGACACCAAACAAACTTTGGATAAATGGTAGGGTTGGATATGGTTGAAGGGTGCTTCAGTATGAACGCGATATCATACCATACTACACCACTATTAGCCCTGAAGAAGATTTGCATCATGTGATTTGATTCGAATATAAAGTGGGACAAGCATTTCTTTTCTACAGAAAATGACCTCCCCCCTTTCTGCAAGTTTTGAGTTAATTTGTTGAAAACTGGTGATATTCTTCCTGTTTTTGTATGCAAAGTCACATGCATTCAAGTTTGAACCGATCATTTAGTTTTCTAACAGCATATCAGAGAACAATTTGATAGTGGGAAAATTGGCCTTGCAATCACTTTAACTTTTAAATATTTGTTTTTATTCAATTAAATTATTAAATATCTATTTTTATCCAATTTAACCTAATCAGTTTTTACCATATAATAACTCAATTGGTAAAAAGTTTGAGAACTTGATTACAATAAAAAGTTAAGAGCTTAAATGATTATTTAATTTTAGTTCATAGGCTTTTTCTATAATTATGCCTAAAAAGAAACAGACTTTGAGTGTAATAATGGAGAAAAAGGAGTTACAACAGCACCCTATGCTTTTTTACACAAGTTTTCTTTTGTTAAAGACTTAAAAAAGAGGTCCATTTGTACAGCAGCAACAATCAAAGAGAGTAAAAAAAAAAAAAATGAAGAGGGTAACTGTGAGGTGAAAGAGTGAATTAGAGCTCTCAAGTCATGAATGATCACATTCCAAAGTGAAATAAGAGAAGAAAAAGAAAGTTACATAAATTCTCCTCATCATTTCCCTACTCTTTCACCAGCCATCACCCTAGTTCAATCACATGATGGTTGAGCCTACCAACTGCTCCCAGATCCTCATCTTCTTCGGCAAGCTGGCATGAAATATATAATCTCCATTACCAGAGAATTATAATCCTGGAGAAAGGTATAGGATAGTAGTGAAAAAGAGAGAAATGAATGAGACGGGCTTCGTTTAGCTCAATGAACTGACCAGGATGCTGCACATCCAGTGTGGCTTGTTCAGTTCTTCTGGTACAATAAAACAGTGGAATATAAAGCAATCCTTGTCAAAGAAATGGCAGAGGCACCCCCCATTCTCTGTTGATTATGCAGTCTGAAGAAGTGGAAACTGGATACGAACCAAATTCTAAATATGAACATAGAGAAATTTGAACCTATGATTCTTTTGCTTTAGGCTTTGGTGATGGATGAGGATGGTGATATGGAGAACCTTGAGGACCATTTGAACTGGATAAACTCCTCATAGGCTGTCCATTCCTCACTACAAATCCAGCCTGTGTTCTGATGCCATTTTTGGCATTGGAACTAGTACGATCAGATTGCATAGTTTGGAAGTAATAGGAAGACCTGGCCATATCTTTAAGGTTTGGCAGAGGCTTTAGGGTTTCAACAACTTCGCTCATTCGAGGTCTGGCTTTGGGATCACGGCTAAGGCATTGGGAAGCCAGCTGGGCAGCTTTCTGTGCACCTTTGATAGAAAAATGCCCTTCAAGGCGAGGGTCCAGAATTCGGAAGAATCTTCTCTTGTCTCCTAGATGCGGTCTTGCCCATTCCACAAGATTGTGCTCCCCATTTGGTCGGTTTTTGTCCATGGCTCTTCGGCCAGTCAACATCTCAAGTAAAACTACTCCAAAGCTATAGACATCACTCTTTGATGTCAAGTGTCCTAAATTAATATCTATATTAGATATATGTAATCACATATCCAGATAAAAGCTTTCAATTCTACATATTATAGAGAAAATAAAACCAAATAATAAAGATGCAATCTTAAAAGGAAACATATTCGAGAGAAAATGGTTAACATTGTTTGCTTAAGCAATCTTAATAGGAAACATATTCGTGATAAAATGGTTAACACTGTTTGATTAACACATATCAGAGGTGGGCTAATTCAAAAGCATAGCAGCAAGAAAGTTGGAGATAAAGGAAACTAATTCATGAAACATTATATTCAGAAAGAAAGCAGTGATTCTACCACATACCAGTCATTACATATTCTGGTGCAGCATAGCCATATGTTCCCATAACCCGGGTAGATACATGAGTTTTATCTCCTTCAGGACCATCTTTGGCCAGTCCAAAATCGGAGAGCTTGGCATTATACTCCTGAAATTGGTACTTGTTTTAGAAAAAGAAAAAAAAATAAAGGGAGGGAATTTGCTATTTTTTCTGTTTTAGTTACATACTGCATCTAACAAGATATTAGATGTTTTAAAATCGCGATATATCACTGGTCTTTCTGCTTCTTCATGAAGAAAGGCAAGACCCTTCGCAGCACCAAGTGCAATTTTCATTCTAATAGACCAAGGAAGTGGCAAGGACCCTTCTGTGCAAAAAATGGTTGTTACCAGAGAAAATTAAACATCAACAATGTACATGCAAATGCATAAGGGCAGAATCATAATGATAGTAATAAACCCAAGCATCAGATATTTCGTTCCTGCTGTAATTGGTCATCCTACTACCATAACCATCTCAACAACTTTGTAGCAAACTCACGTAACAAGAAGAAAAGGCATGGATCAGCATGAGAAGGTAAGACAGCATGCAACTACATCTAAGAGAAGTTTCAGATGGTATGTCACTTTGACAAAGTTTCAAAGAGTGTGTCATTTGGCCACGCTTAACCATTGCAAACACAAAACTCATGCTAATGTATAAGTTTTGTTGCCAGACATTTATTAGGCTATCTCACAAAGTTGATGCTTTTACAAAAATAAAAATGACAAATTAAGACAATTTTAACATACGAACTAGCTATAATCACGCATCCTAACTGTCAAAATCCAATTATCTGTTGAATCTTTTCAGTGCCAAATGAGCGTACAAGCTTACTAGGAGAAAACATACATGTCATAGGTAAAGAAAATAAAATAATATAATATAGAAGAGAACTTGAGGCACCACATTAATCTCTAAGCTAAATTTTGTACAACTGACGACATTACCCTCCAATAATAAAACCCTGATTCTCTGTTCAACCTATGTTAAAGAGCACCGTAGAAATCATACATTTATTTAGCAAAAGCTATCCACATATGCATAGCTGAACTATTTAAGTGTCACAATACTTTGCTTAAACCATCACAAAATCCACAAGGCATATCATGGAACAAAATGCAATTACATACTTCTGAAGAGGTGGTTCTCCAAACTTCCTCGTGGCATAAACTCATATACCAGTAACCTGTGATCATCTTCAATGCAGTAACCAACCAATTTAACTAAATTGGCATGGAGGAGGTTACCAAGAAAATCCACCTCAGCCTGAAATATGAGGGAAAACATGAATTTGAAATAGAAAAGATTGCAAAAGAAACATTATTCAGATATCATACCAGCCATTCTTTATGACCCTGAAGTCCATCAATATTTAGGGTTTTGACTGCAACAGTAAGCCCAGTACCAGGTTTCACAGGAGCAGTTCCATTCTCCTCAATCCAACCCTTGAAGACACAACCAAATCCACCCTCACCAAGAAGACTCTCAGGTCTGAAATTTCTGGTTGCTAATTTAAGGTCAATAAATGTGAACTTTCGAAGGTGTGAAGCGACTTTCAGTTCCTCACTGAATTTTGGAGTAGATGAAGCACTTTCTGCATTACTGGTGGTTGTAGAAGACACAGGAACAACTGGTTGATCTCTGCTTTTCTCTTTTGTAGCTTTGCTTTCAGCTGAATTTATACAAAAACCAAGGCAGTAAAATTAATGGTCATGCAACAGTTATCAAGAATGGTAACTATCAGATACCATTTCATATAGCATAGATGCACTTATCACACACTAAATGTTTCGAAAATTTTGTCCAGTGCTTTGAGGCTAATCATATTATTGCCTTTCCAGTTTCCAAGTAATAAGTGGTGGAAAACTAGTTGCTATCAACTAATTACCACATTCATAAAAAACTTACCGTGTACTAATGGAAAGGGAAAAAACATTAAATGAATAACTTTTGCAGAGGCTCCATCTTCTTTCTCCTACTACATATGATATATATTAGCCCAAAAAGAAAACTTTTTGATCACTAAATTATATTAATATACCTTTAATCAAGATGATACAAGAGAGCAACTTAGTCTCAGATGAATTTATACATCGTAAAAATAAAGTTTTTTTTTCTCTCTTTTTATTTATACTTTAAAATGAGTTCTTCAACACCAAAATACTTGGCTATAATCTTAAAATTTTCTATTCTCCAGTTATATCAATACAACTTTTCTCCTAAATATTCTCAACAAATGACCACATCCCTTCACCTCAACCTATTGAAAAGAACCTTTACACAAATGAAGCTTTTTTTAAGATATTAAAGAAAAAAAAGAAAATTTAAAATTAATAACAATTAAATAAAGGAGAAAGGAAAGAGAAGATTACCATAATGAGTACCTGTTCTTCCACTCATAGAGTTATCAACTCTTGATCTTGAAGACATGCAACATCCCATGAACCTTAATTTAACCCAACATCCTGTTTCTTCTTCTCCTCCATCTTTCTTCTTCCTTGTTGATTTTTTCTTCACAACTTTTTCAAACTGATGACCAAAACCCATCTTTCTAAAACTGATCTAAAACCATCAAAATTACTCAAAAAAAAATGATCTTTTTTTTTTAAATAACAAGGAAACTTTTAATCATAAAAAGGAAAACCCGTCTTAAAACATCTCAAAACAAGTGATTTTAAGCAATCAAACACATTAAAAAAATTTTTTTGCTGATAATCACTAAGACCCAGTTTATGAGACTTAGTCAAAAGGGGGTTTTTGTGAGAGAGAGAGAGAGAGAGAGAGAGAGAGAAAGAAAGAAAAGGAGAAAGGAGGGCTGCTTGAGAAAGAGGGAAAGTGTTCAAGAAAGGGCAGGTTGGGCAGTTTGAAACAGAGGAAAAGGGCAGCTTGGGCAGGAGGGAGAAACAATCGAAGAGTGTTCAACATTTTCATTTCCGTGCTGTTAACTTACAACAGTAACCTTGGCATATTCCAAACAAAAAAAAAAAAAATCATTTGAGGAGGACATGGAAGTGGATATATTAAAGATTTGTTTTGTTTAATGTTTCTCTGGTTTGGGTTAGGATTATCTTACATATTGAAAAGATTATGATACATGAAATGCCATTGAGACTGTGCCACGCTTCCATGTAGGTGGGTTTATCTTTGCCCAGTAAAAAAAACATAAAAACATGTATACTAACAGACAAAGACAACTATCACTTTCTTTGGTATGTTTGCTGCCAAACTCACAGTGATCAATTTCTCCATCACCACACCCCAATTAGTGGAATTACAAATCACTAACTTGAAATTGATACCCCTTTTTTATCTTCTCATTATTTTTGCTTCATTTCATATTTTTTTCCAACTGTCAACTTTTTTATTATTATGAATAATTACGTGATTTGTAAATGTTTAATTTTAATAATTATATGTTAAATTTTGATAATCTCGATTATTAAAAAACTTTGATCATCATCAATGTAAATTTGTATATGCTTTTTCATTTTAAAATTAATATATAATGATATAATATTAAATCGATTGTCAAAATCTTACCAAACAAATACGGCTAAATTCATATATTATATAGTAATTGATTTATTTTTATAAATAAATATAATTTTATAAAAAGAAATTGACAACTTCAAATTCTTATCTTTAAATTAAAAAAAAATAAGAATTTGGATATAGCATTGAGAATTTTGAACATTCAAAGGGAGGATTATCTGATTGCTTTGTCAGCATTTATGAAGGTGGGTTGGTATGCCAACATCTTCTAAAGGTGGGTTGGTATGCTAACATCTTCTACCACACATGGCAAAAAAGGTATAGCAGATTCCAAAAACATGTTTTATTCTGCAGATAATGTTGTTTAGATGGTGATGGCAATATCAGAGCAAGGTAAGACTAATGGATTGAAGTTTACTTGAAAGAGGATGACAGCAACTGGAAAAATTTTCACCTAAACTCTAATGCTTCACATGTAACTCTGGTTCTTTTTTTTTTTTTTTTTTTTCTTGTTTTTGCATTTTGTTTTTGAACCCTGCTGTCAAGTCAAGTGCATTTCTTGTAGCAGATCACTTGTTAGTTCCTTTAATTCCCAATTGAAATCAATAATTTGTTCTATGATTTGTATATCTTCCCTTTGAGCCTGTCTTCCATTAACATAATCACATTATCTAGGAAAATCACTGCCACTTTGCCACTATTATTGGACCAATTCTTTTGATATGGCAGCACTGACAGAAAAAAGGAGGCCTAGAAACTTAATCCATGCAATGACTTTTGCAAAAATCTTGAATTATTCGTTAATCACTCAAAAGGGTCATAACCATCTACCCTTTTTTGTCAGCAGCCAAATAGTGAAAAGCTAATAATCATTGACCGCTAACATGGAATAAGCAAATAGCTGAATAGAGCTCCATTATTTCTTTCTGATTCACTGAGTCTGAAATCTCAACTGTGAAAGCAACTTGACATTAAAAATCTATAATTTGACAACCTAGCAGAAAAACTCATCATAGTTTTGTAAATTTTGGACTGCTTTTAACTATTAAAGATGAGTTGAGATAACATTAAAAAAAGCTTTAGAATAAAGCTTTGAAAATTTTGGCTGTCTTCTTTGCTCATGAAGGAATCCAATTGTTTTCCAATAAAAACTGAAAATATAAATACAAATATATGCAATATTATTTTTTTATTTTTATATATTTAGTGGAATATTTTGTAAGCTGCCTATAGTATTATGATTTATTGATAACATGTTGAATTACTAATTTCAGTAATCGAAATTCAAAATTTTAATTATAAAAAAAATAAAAAAATTGTTTGAGTATTGTGAATACTTCTTAATCTTAAATAATTTTCAACGAAACTTGAAAAGATTATCATCATAAATCTCCTTTAAACTATAATGAAATATTAAATGCGATATATGAATTTAAAAAATTTATAAAGTAATAATTAAATTATAAATTTGTTAATTAATATAATACTTAAAGGATTATTTATCTATCACGAGTCATTATTTTAAACTAATCACATTTATAGTGAGAATCACGTTAGTTAACATATTAATGATTCTATGTCACATAAGAAATTTTGAAATTTCTAATAACAAGTTAAACATTTCAATATAGTTTATGAATCATTCATAAATTAACCCTAACCCAAAATGTAGTAGGCGAATCCATATTCAGAATTAGCCTTACCAATACCATTGGTGTACCATTTGCATATTTTCCCCTAAAGCCTGTCTTCTATTAATCCAAAATGTACCACCATTGCTTATTTTGTCTGTCTAAATATGATACCAAGAAAGAGGCACTTAACAGCTCAAGTTTCAGCGAATAACCAGTAGAGTCATCAATGAATTAGATCTTTTGACTTTGATCCTTCCTATGAATAGAATTGAAGAACTCCATAAGTTTTTATTGAATAATTAAATCGTATGATCAATTAATTAAGGCAAGACTCAAAAAAAAAAAAAAAAAGGTAAAAGAAAAATAAAACACAGATCATTCACTCATGATATCTTCACCATCTTCTTGTTCGCTCAACTCAAGATCAGCAAGCAACTCTTCCAATGGAACAGAAGGCACATCATCCCCATCAGACTCGGATAGCATTTCTGATGGCTGGTAATCTTTGTTGCGGTAAAATGACAAGTTGAACCTTAATTCAGGGTTCTCTTCCAGATCTCTCAAGAACTCTTCGTACTCTGAGTTCATCTTCTCTTCATGAGCTCTACCTTTTGATTCATCAAGTTCCATATTAAGGGACTTAAGCTTCCATGGACGAGGCTTCCCACGCTTCTTATGGCGCTTCTCTTCATAGCTCTTCTTTATCAAAATTACCTTAGGAATCTCATCTTCTCCACGCTTGTCTAGTTCAATATCATTAATGTTAGCCCCATAAAGGTCATAACCAAGAGCACGATCTCCAGGCTTCAAAATATGGCCTAGATGTGTTGTTGTGTGTAACAACTTTCCATAATCAGTTACACGAAACAAATCAACATTTGCTAAAACATATTTGGAGCCCCCCAAATTATGTCTAGAAGAAACAACTTCAACATTGAAGACATGATATTCCACCAGCTGCTTGCTACCAAGTAGAGACTGAAAGGAATACCTCCAATACTGCTCAGTGTCCAAGAAACACTGCCTTAGAGTTAATGGATCCAGCAATGTAATGTTGTTTGTCACTTTTGTGCAGATCACAAGTTGACCAAGATTCCCTAAACTAGCAGCAACTCTTATAGGCAAACAAATTAAATCGTCACGGCAAATGGGAGATATTTCAACCGAGAATGTTTACTTATAATTGTAGCTATTGTTCTTAGCATCATGAGAAACAAGCTGTTTGTTATGTCTACTCTTTGTTGGAGCGACTTTACCCACAAATTCCACAAACTTGACAGCATGACTCCTGTTAGCAAAGAAAAAATCAATTCCCTGATCCATCTGCTTGATTTTAATGGCATGGAAAGCAGCATCATGCTTCAGGATGAGTTGCTCCAGGTAAAAGATTGTTCGCCTATGTGCAACACGTTGTCTGAGCTGAACAGCAGCTACCCACTGGTCAGGATTGGTCTGAAACCTTGTACATGATTCACACATGTGATTTTGCTGAACAAACTCAACAACATAAGATTGCTCAAGAAACGCTCCGTTAAGAACCTCTTTCTGAACTTTCAGCTTAACATTGATTCTCTTAGAATGAGGTTCAGTCCAAATAAATTCAGCACTTACTACCCTAACTTTTTTCAAATTAGTCTCCAGTCGTTTCACACAAAACTTCAAGAGATCCTCTGATTCCAACTGAGCTTTTTTCCAAGTTCTAGGGGGCTGCAAGTAGCTATCACACTTAGGACAATGCATAATGGTCACATGCTTCCATAAACCTTCCGTGATGTCAACCTCAGACCGTAGACATGTCACACACATGTTGGAAGGATTTGGCATCATCGGAATACCGCACTTGCAACACAAGACAGTACCTCTTGTCTGAGGAACCACAAACATATTTGCAGCCATAGGTACTGCTCCATAAAGAAGAGAAAACAAAAGGAGAGATAATATAGGTTTTTAACACCTCAAAGAAATAAAATTCAATGGAAGAAGAGGCTAAGAATAAACTATTAGATATAAACAAGTTAATCTTTATGTTGTCCCAATATTCAAAAGCTCCTGTTTTAACACAATCCTGTGTTAAAACAAGATAAACCCAAGTTAAAAAAAAGTGTTTAATGAAATAAAATAGAAATTCAAATTACAATCTCCTAACTACAACATATTCATCAAGTACCAAAACACTACCTACTGTTTGAGGAACCACAAACATATTTGCAGCCATGGCTGCCGATCCACAAAAAAGAAAGAAAGTAATTAATAAGTATTATAATCCGGAAGAAATTAAAAAAAAAAAAAAAGACTTACATTCATCATCGCCGTTTGCCATCGCTGATTTGCAAAAAAGTACGTGAGAAAAAGCGGTGGTTTTTTGCAAAACCCTATTATAATATTAATTCAAAGGCCAAAGCTTTTCTTTTTTCCTTTTTTTTTTTTTTGCATAAACTAACTGAAAGGCCCAAATTGTCTCAGATTGGAGTTAGATTTTTCAGGCCCAAAGTTCTAACATTAAATTAGAAAAATGTTTTTATATTAATATAATAATTTATGAATTAAATTTAAATTTTACTACATTTTTTTTAGATAAATTAAATTCAACTACATTGTTTATGCAAGAAAATAAAACTTGTTTCTAGGTATATCAAAACTTTTTTTTTAATCACAAATACATTTAAAACTCGAAAATTTTTAATTTTTTTATATAAAATAACGTAAATTTAGTTTGTAAATATGAATAAATCATTTGGTCATATCGATGGCTTAGAAATTTGTTAATTTTATAAATATTTCATCATTAAATGTTTTTATTGAATATATAATTTCCTCTTTATCATGAAATTTATAATATTTTAAATATATATTCATAGTTATATATTTTTACTATTCATCTTGTTGTAAACAATATACATTTGGATTAACTCTTGCATTTCTAAACCCTTCCACATTCAAACAATATGATGAAGTGCTCTCTTCTTCATTTTTATTTCTCAAATTTATGTCTTTCATGGTTATATTTTTGCATGGAGTTGATTCACTGCATGCAAGTTCCCTTGCAATTTCTTTATGTGATGTTCCATGTATGTAACTATAGGCAACATTGCTTACTTCCGCAGCTGAATGTTTATGGGGACAATAATATTGATCAACAATGGTAGGTCGAGTTGCACCATAAGATATTATACGTTCAAATTTTATGTATCTTGCATATCCATGTCCTCCCTAAGCACATAAAACAAAGCTTAGTCGCAGCTCAAAAGCTTAAAAAAATATAAAACATTGCATTAATATAGAGTTTAAAGTTAATTAATATACCTGCCATATCCTTATTCTAACTCCATTCATTGTTCTTTTGAAAGAAACATCCCTTAAACAAATTCCGTTTCCTCAGTTTTTCCTTTAATTCCAAGACTTCCAATGCTTCATGTGAGGGTAAATAAATCAGTACCGATTTAATTTCATAAAACAAGAGCATAAAAAAGCATAAAAATAAAAAGAAATATTTACCTAATCCTGTGACCTGGACCACAGTTGATGTTACTAATATTAAGGTATTTTGAACCATCTCCGATTGATATACAATCATCACCTAATGAATTATAAAAATGACTGTGACATAGAAATATCAAAAAGTTAAATTTTCATGCAAGAGATAATTATTTATGTTAGGAAGATATATTTATGTACCAGTCTGGATGATTGAGTGGTCTATAGAGACATTGGTGGAATGTTGGATGTGAATGCCATCAGTGTTGGGGCTGTCCTCTGGGGCTCTGATTGTAAGTTTAGTAGCATAAATCAATGTTGACCTTTCAAATGCAACGTGCATTTTTGGACTGTCCTCAAAGGTTAAGCCACTAATCTGTACATTGTTGGAGTGTGCCATGACAAAAACCCTAAAACAAGACCAGATTCTCATGCAATTAGTGTTAATGTATGTTAAATTTTTCTACCATCTTTAAGAACTCAAAACTGGAACTTGATCAGTTTACTTACGGTTGCTTTTTGGAGACAAAGCTACGAGCAGAGAGCAATGGAAGATATATCAGTAGTAGCAGATTGATCTATAACTTAAAAGCTATAAAAAAATTTTTAGCAGAAAATTTTTGGGATGGCCTTACTTTTTGGTTATGTTTGCAAGAAAGTTTCCACCATTTTGTTCCTTGGCCATTGATGGCTCCAGATCCTTGAATGAAGAGGCCATCGAAGTGTTCAAACGTAATCCAGTGGTGACATTTTTTATCATTACATTCCCATGCAGGAGGATTGCTTGGAGCTACGATGTATCAGAAAACTAAAAAAAAAAAAAAGTCAATGTCCAAAGCTTAAAGATGGATGCAGCCATCATAAACATGTATTTCAAGATGAAAAAAGTGCAAAAACATAATAGAATTCATGAGCCAATCACTCTTGAAGAAGAGATTAAGAATACTTGCCTGGAAAGTGATGTTATTTGAATCGCATTCACCATTGAAAACCAAGGGCTGCAGCAGAAACCTCTTTCCTTGAGTTACAAGAAAGGTTGGTGAAGAGCCTGAACTATGGCAAGCAGCATCCCAGGCATTCTTAAATGCCTATAAACAAGTAAAAAAGAAATAAATAAACATATATATGGTACCATATTTATATAAATATAAACATGAAGCTATTAACAATTAAAAAAAAAAAAAACCCTTGTATCCATCTCCAATGGCTCCTAAATTAGTGACATAAAAGATATTGTCGCCAAAAGATACAGCCAAAAAACTGCAGTGAATCAAAAAAACTAGGGAGAGGAATTTGAAAGTAGCCATAGTCAATTGAAATTGAAGCAAAAGTAGAGTGATGATAAAATATTGAAGGTTAGGGTGTATATATATAGTATTATTAAGTTGTTTTAATCCAAAAATAGGAAGGTATTCCTTCTTGCTTTCCAATTAGTATTTCATGTGAGTTTGCATATTGGGATGGAACTAGTCCTTTTATACGGTAACTCTTATCTTTATTTTTATTAGTTTAATAATTGAAAGTAAAATCGAAGACTAAAAGAATTGAAGCCTAGTAAAAGTAAGAATCATGAGTTCAATGTAATTTATATATTGCCTCACGACATAATGAATAAGATATATAATTACTTTATTATATTCCCTTATGGGAAATATAGAAGATAGAGATTATTACCTCAAATGACAAATTATATTTTTTACTATTAAGTTTGAGTTATTGCAAATCTGATCAGGTTGATTTCAAGTTCAAATCGTTTGAAGTTTATATTCTTTTGAATTTATATAATTTCATATTTGGAAATTTGATTTTTTATCCATTGGAATGCCTAGACAAATTCAAGTATACATGCATGTAGTTTATAATTTATATATACAAAACCTATCTATGTTTTCAAAAAAACCCTATAAAAGCAAGTATATATGCATGTACGTATGTACGTTATATGTATCAAGCATCTCTATAGTCTATTAATCTTGATTTTGGATTGTTTCTAAGCGTTGGCTTATTCCTTGAGCAAGCTTAACCAAAATTTCAAAGCCATAAACTAAAACCTTAGTAGCACTCAATTAATTATCAATTAATATTCACAATAACAAGTTGGTAGCACCAAAATCCAAAACCATGGTCTTGAAGGAAACATGTATTGATACTAATCAATAACAACAGTCGCAGCTTTTTAAGGTACAAACCAAATTACAACAGGTACCAGGATTTTCAACTGAAGCTAAGTCACAGGCAATGGACTCGTTAATTGTAGCTCCTATATATGTTACAGCTCAGTAGGAGAAATACAGACAAATAAATGACAATACTTGATCAAGTTGCTTCAAGTTTCAAGCCATGTCAAGGTTCCCATAATTAGATATTTGCTTGGTAGTTCCCCAGCCGATGGTGCAAGGTATGTAATTTTCTTCCTGCCATGTTTGAAGTAGTTGAGAATAAGAAAGATAAAGGGTATAACCTGTATTTGTTAAAGAAATTGTAGTAAAGCATTAAAAGAGCCTGTGATTCAACCTTTGAACATCGATGTCAGTGATGTAAATAAACCCTGCAACATTACTGCACCAAAAAGAGATAATGTAAGTAGCAGGGAAGTTGGGGGAGAATCTTTTTTATTCTTGGATGTTCTAAAAAATTCCCTAGATCAGCCAGCCTGATCAATTCCACAGTTTGAAGGTTATCAATTTGTAAAGTTCCTAGGCCGCTAGCTGTGTGCCACACATAACAGAAGTTACACAGGTCAGATCTAAATAACCAAGTTATAAGACTAGTTGCGATCAGTCACTTTGAAACTCACCAAACAACTATAGGACAGGGATTTGTCAGTAATATAACTTAAAATCAAACCTTTAGTAGTTAGTCTTAATTACTGATAGAAGACCAGCAATTAATAAGATTGCTAAGAAGCTACTTGCATTCTTGCATTGTAAAAATTTGGTGATTTGCTTTGGCATTTGAAACAACATGAATCTTATGGATATCCTACTAGATTGACATGCGTTACTCTCCTACATGCAATATATCTAAAATTTCATTTGTGCTTCCTAGTGCAATACAGATTATTTGATGACTAAAGATTTGATGAGACATTGAAGAAGCAAAAACAAACCTTGACAAAATTTGGTCAGGATCCTTGGCATATGAAACAGCAAGAACCATATGAAGCAAATCCCGATCAATATTTACAGGTGTTACTCTTAAAGGGTTAGCAACAGGGTCTGCACCAATTGGCAAAGCTGATCTTGGTGCCTGTGGACCACCACCAATTCGATAGACAAGCAGATCACTGAAGTTTGCAATATTAGAATGTGGGGAAAGATCATTTGCGAGGCCATAAAAGTACTCCTGGTAGAATTAACAGCATGTACTTGCCTTATCAGGAAGATGAAAATAGAATGCAAACTTTATGAAATCAAGAAAAATGTACGCCTTCCCAATAAATGACTCTATTAAAGGAAGCAGAAAGAAACCAGCTTTTTTAAGGCATCAGTGAATTGGAATGAAGTCTAAATTTGGTCTCCAAAATGCAAAGAGATCCTAGAAAAGCAAACTATCATCCAGTACCTAGTGATGTCAAGAAAAAAAAAGTTCTCCTTTTATCATTCTTCATGCCTACTATTCTTTTTTCCCCCTTTTTTTCCCTTGTAAAGGTATGTCACAACTCACTAGTATGAATTAATGAATTTCTGGCAAAACAAACATGGGAGGAAGCTATGATAAAACATAAATGAAAGAGTTCACCCACTGACTCTAAATGTTGCACTTACCCTTATCCTGTAACCCCTAGCCTTCTGACGAAATTTTGCATTCCTGGATACAACACCCCCTGACCTCTGAAGTTTCACAACATCCACATTAGGCTTACTTTTGGCTACAGCCTTAAGCATGCTGAAAAGTTTTTCCTGTAAAGAGTTTATAAAGATTAGTTAGTAAACAAAATACAACAAGGAAACAAAAAAATATCTATATATTCTTAATTCAGAAATGATTGAAGGAACAATGATAGAATTTGGGCCAAAGGGACAACAATATTCTTGATTACCTGACCCAAAACCAAGACAACATTAGCCTTGAATGTATCAATTGCATGGAGAAGCAACTGGAGGAAGATATAGATCATCAAGAACAGTCAGAAACACCAAAAAGAAAGGAGAGAGAATAATACTTTTTTATTAATTTAAGCAAACATAACCTTTTTTTTTGCCAAAAGCAAACATAACCATTGACTGTATCAGCATTTACATTTATAGAAGGTTCAAACTTCATTACCTCATAGCCTGTACCTTCTATCCAACCCATGGTATTGATTACCATGCCAGCAGCTCGAGATTCAGCATTACGATCAAATTGAGTCTCCAGCAGTTGAGCAAGCTCATTCACAAGTGCTTTATACAAATCTACATTATTACTGCAGAACAGTGACACCCATAAATATCAGAGAATTAGTAATGACAATTGATCTAACAAAGAGCTTTTGGCCATACAAAATTTCTCATTATGTGTCAATCAGTCCATATTTTATCCAAAGAAAGTACATAACCACAAAAAAAATCAGAAAACACAAAATTAGTTACCTAGGAGTTGTATGGCCGTAAAAGTAAACAAGAGGCATCTCAAGAGGAATTCCTTCCACCGGATCAATGGGCATTTCAATAGGCGTAGCAGCAATACTTCCCGGAACTGTTATAGATCCTTGGCCTATATCCAAATCCACAAAGGTAGGTTTCCAGCCTTGTTTAGCTGCCCAACTAAGAAGCATCCTTGATAGGGTGCTCTTTCCAGAATCTGTAGGCCCCACAACAATCACCCTGGGCCCCTGGAAAACCAAAAAGTATCAAATTGACATATAAACAAAGTTAGGCATGAGTGCTCCTATGGAGTTGTAAACGAATGTTCTTAGCTTCATAAATGAAACATGGAGATACCAAAGCAAATGGAGAAAAAGAGTAACCAAAATACATCCTGTAAGGGTATTATTAACATAAAAAATGGATAGTAATTGAAATACGACAATAGTAGTACCATTGAAAGTGTAATCGAAGAAAGATAGAACTCTTCTAAAACAGAACTGCCTTAAATTAAAACCAATTCTCATACCTTTTTGTCAAAACTACATTTGACAAGATCAAAAGGGACAAAAGACGTTCTAAATATCACTACTAATTGATGTCAAATACATAAGTCCTGTCATAGGTAGCAAAAAAGAAACACAAAATACCTGGGATGCCTCAGGATCATTAGGCGATGAAGCTTTAGCACGGTTTCTTCGTCCTTCTAATACGGCATGTACATTGACATAACTAACCATAGGTGTCTGCAAATCAACCATTGCAACAGCATCCGCAATCACAATGTACAATTTGAGAACTGCCCTTCATCTTGCATTACATGTAAAGCATGTATCCAAATCACAAACCTGAAAATTTGAAATTTAAAGTAGGTACCTCATCCGCCGAATAATCAGTTTCGGTAGCACCATCCATCTCAATTGTAGCTCCATACCAAGTGAACACCTATACATGAACAAATTTTCTTTAGTACCTTTTGATGTAACCAAATAACCCATGAATGAAATAATCATTCAGTTTCATCGTAACCTCTCTAGTCGGATAAAACAAATGACAAAACCAAAAAAGATGAAAAGTTTTGAGGTTTCATTTCAAAATGATCATCCATTCAATGATCCATCATCACCCACTTATAAAATTTTAAAAGTTTCAAACTTTGTCACCGAACAAGAGTGAAATTACATACTAAAAGTCTAAAACATATACATTCCTACTCAAGATTGACTCTTTGGAAGTGTAATTTTCGAAACTCACAGCGAATTTGAGACGAGGAGGGAAAGTGAGCCACATCTCAGGGGCCAATTCGGACCCGAAAATCTCGGCTGAGCCGTTAAGTAGTCGGAGCTTAAGCGGCATTTCATTACCCACTTCAATTCTCAGCTCGCTTTCTCTCTCTAACTTCACTTGCTTTATCGTCGACGCCGAGACAGAGCCGCTCACAGCCGCAGGCGCCGCCATGGCTGCACCGCCGTAAGACATGGTTAGAAGATTTAGAGTTGAAAGGTTTGGGTACTTTTATTTCGATTTCAATTAAATTAGATATCTAATATATATATATATATATATATATATATATTTACAACGTATAAAATTATATTTTTTTATATTATAAATTTTTTTGTTTTATTAATTTCTTTAATGTTTTTATTTTTTGTTAATTTATTAATATATTTACTTTTATTATTGTATATATTTAATTTTGACAAATTAATATATAAATTTATATTCTCTATTTTTTTTTACTATACTTTTTATTATTAAATTTTTTTATCTACAATAGATGATATGAGAAGAATAATGATCACTACTGTATCTAACTCACAAAAAATACTATCAATTATATTAAAAATGTTTAAAAATAAAAAATATTAAAAAAAGTTTTAAGCATAACATAAAAAATTATTTTTTTATCTAAAAAATAACTTTATTTTATTGACATATATAGAAATAATTATTAACCCAATATATTTGAAAAATAAATATAATATTTTATTTATGTTTTAATTCAAATATTTTTATATTATATATTTAGTTAATTTATTTTATTCTCTTTAATCCATAACTTCTTTTAATTTTGCTTAGATTGATTATAGTTAATTTTTTATATTATATATATATATATATTTTTTGTTTTATTAATTTGTTTAATGTTTTATTTTTTGTTAATTTATTAACATATCTGGTTTTATTATTATATATATATATATTTAATCTTGATAAATTAATATATAAATTTATATTCTTTATTTTCTTTTACTATATTTTTTATTATTGAATTTTTTTATCTACAATAGATGATATGAGAAGAATAATGATCATTACTATATCTAACTCACAAAAAAATACTATCCATTATATTAAAAATGATTAAAAATAAAAAAATATTAAAAAAAGTTTTAAGCATAACATAAAAAATTATTTTTTTATCTAAAAAATAACTTTGTTTTATTGACATATATAGAAATAATTATTAATCCAATATATTTGTGTAATAATTACTCAAGGAATGTCAAAAATAAGAAAAAATAAAATGCAAATGATTATAACAAAATTAATTGTGATTTATTATTTAATCAAATATATATACACCATTGAATCAACATTATGATAAAAATAATTATTAATCTTAATTATTTAAATATTAATTTTTTATTTTTTATCAACCAAGGAAAAAGTGGTAACAAAATTTTGAGTATTTAACAAACAAATTAAAGAAAATATTTTTTAATGAAAAAAAGAATTTTTGTAATTTTTGAAAATTTATAAAAGTTTAGACCTTTTTTAAATGAACAATATGATTTATAATATATTATGTATAAATTATTATTTAATTGTGACTTAGCATTTATAAATATATGATTATATATTAGATAAATAATTAAAAAATAAATTTAAAATTATGAAAAATTTAATTAAAAATCCCGCACATTGAGTTAAAAAAAGTTAGTTTAATTAATGAATTAAAAAGTGACTACATTGGGCCCAAAAGCTTGCCCAAGTTAGGAGAGTCTATTTGAAGGCCCAAGAGTTGATAAACAAATCGGATAACTTCCATCAAGATTTTTTTTCAGTTTTTCAAATATTTCATATTAAAATCTAAATTTTGTTAAGAGAAATTATTTTATACATTATTAATAAAAATTTTTAACTCTAAAAGTCAAATTAATAAGATGATACATGTCTCACATTGTATTAAAATGTTTTCTTTTTAATATTGAGAGTTTTAAAATATACATTAAAAATTATATATTATCTTGTTAATCTCATTTGTAAATGTTTATGAAGTTTTTTTTTTTTTTTTAATACATGGGGTTTAAAACGTTTTAAACTTGAAACCGAGACTTCAATGTGCCCTTTTAGGGCTCCTTGACCACTAGATCAAGAAGTTAAAATTATTTATTTGTGAAATTAAAAAAATTACTTATTTATATATTTAATAATTTTTTTAATATAAAAGAAAACATTAAATCTTGAACTTAGAATTTTTATCCATAGGATGATACATAGAGAGTTAGCAAAACTTATTCGAATAAATAATTTAAATCTAAATTATTTTAGAAATTAAATTTAAATTTGAAAATTATTCGAATTTGAATAATTCAAAGAAAATATAAATTTCATATAATTTGAACCCGAAAATACTCTAATTCCATATGCCTCGCCCCCTAGTTACTGGGTTACCAATGATATCTAAATCCATTTTTAACTAAGGCCAAGCATAATCAACATAATTTTGTTTTTGAAGTACAGCATACACTTTCCATGAATTTATACTCTTGGTTTAAGGTAGTTGGTATCATTATCACTTAACTTTCCATGACTTTATTCCCTTGGTTGCTCCAACTTCCATGAAGGTTCTGATGAAACTGTAAAGGGGAAAAAGGACCAAAAAAAAAAGATAAGAAATGATGATGCCGGCTTCAAGAAACTTCCAGGTAAAGTAACAGGATGTTTTTCAGGTAAATAGAAATCTTTTCCCCACTGAACTTCCAAAAATCTTCTCAGCAGTTTCTTTGTGTGATCGCTTCATCTAAAGTTTATATATTTGTGCTGCTCTGAGCTCTAAATCATATCAATTCTCAACAACCTCAGCTTCCAAAGTCGTATCATTTCCATTCAAAAAAAATGGTGTCAAACAATGATCAAAATCATCAAACCACAATTCCTCAAACTAATCCTGAAATACCCATATTTCTTCCAGCCATAGCTTACTTCTACCTCATATTCAACAGCGTCTCCACAATCTACCAGGCCTACACTCACGGTGACTTTTCCTTGGCAGTTTTCATAGTTTTTGTTTACGTCGGTTATTTCAGTCTCATGTATTGCTTGACGCAGTTCCAAGCTTTACCACCTCAGGAAAATTCACCAAGGAAAGATTTACTGAAATCTGTCATCTGGGTTTTAACTAGTTTTATCTTATTTGGCTTTGCTTATCAATTCTACACCTTTATCCACCCTGTTGCAGCAATTTTTGTCTTTGCTATTGCAATTTCTGTCAGCTCTTTCCTCTTTTTCTTATATTTTTTCCATGATGGCCATCAGCAACAGCCAAAAAAACCAAGTGATGGCTCTTGCTGCAGACTTAGAATCAGAGTACTTCGAAATTCTTCACCGAGTAGCAATGTGATGAGTGAGAGTAAAATGAGGGAAGTTGTGCCTGGTCCAGAAAATGTCTAATTCCTGGAAAATAGTGTCTCTAGAAACTAGAGTTCAGACCGTCAAACTGTCTGAGTAGCATCCCCTTGTAATGGAGGTCATCTAAGTTTTATGTTTCTAATACAATTTTATTTAATTTATTTTCTGAAGTATTCAGAGTTTGTACCTTGTTATCAATCATTCAATTTAAAAGTTTTCAGAAAGTTATACTTCAAATTAAACAACTATCAATTGCTATAAATTTGTTGCTCTTTATTATAGTTAAAAAACAAGTTATTAGGGCCATGAACAAGACAAATGTTTCTCAAGAAAAACAAACAAAAACCAAAAGTTGAGAGTTGCACAATACTCGGGGCACTTGTTAATTTCTATATTGTGATGAGGGAATGAGAGTTTCAAGACCAGTAAAGTAGTAACTAGCAAACTCTGAATATCCACTTATCTCCATCAGTATTTCTTGGTTGTGATTAATAGTAGCAGCCTCATTTTCCTACTCATTAACAAAAGATAAACATCATTCATGCATCTAATCAAGAATAAAACAAGTGTCATTCATGGATTTCTCTGTTGTCCATTGCAATTCTCAAAACACTGGCATTACAAATTACAATGAATAGCAAATGAGAGATTGGGGACGTCAAAAGTCAAGTCATTTAATAGATTGTTTTTGTTGCTCATAAATAGGTAGAAGAAACTAGTCCCTTTTTGCCATGATAGCTCTAATCAGTCTAGACAAATGTCTAGTTTCGATTTTTCTTTCTTCTGTGGCGCTCTGGCCTTCCTTTAGCTGTTATTCTGTTTGTTTCCAACTTTATTTGATCTCCATTTCTCTAGTGAGACATGAAGTAGAGTCAGAGGACCCAAGAATGGAATGCAAGGATGTCAGATAGCTATGAAATATACTGTATATATTGTAATGATCTTTACTTGTTATGGCTGAATAAAAGAACTTGGGTTTTCATCTAGTTATTATTTTTTTTATATATATTTACCATTCCGTATTTCAGAGGCTAAAATTATTTCACTGGCTGTTAAATCTCTGTGAATCTCATAAAACTGAGAGGTATCATTCACTTACTTGACAGTTGAATGAGACCAAACACACCATTGCAGTGTTACGTTCGAAGTATAAATTGTCAGATATCTCAGATAATGGGAAACAATTTGTAAGACAATCATGCAGAAAACTAATCTATTTAGTTTCAGGTTTCAACATGACTAACCTTGTTCAAAAAAATTTTTTTTTTTCTGAAACAACTAACCTTGTTCAAGTTAATTCCAAATTTTGAGCATGGTCTTGCCATCATGGAGAGGGTCCTCGAAGGGGCAATTCCATGTTAGCAAAAAGGATATGAAGATGGAGATGCGGGGTATCGATCCCCGTACCTCTCGCATGCTAAGCGAGCGCTCTACCATCTGAGCTACATCCCCAGAATGTTTCTTTCATCCCAAAATTTAATATCTAAGTAGTTGATTTCCAGTTTTTGAATCATGGTTATGGTCTCTCGATGATCTTGTGCATCCCAGTTTCCTTCACTTTCCAAAGGAAAAGGAAAAAACCACTGCTTTTTTGGTATTTGATAGTTTGAGACCTTGAGCGACAAAAATGCTGAGGAAGGTACTACTTCAACAAACTCCCATAGCTCACCGATTTCTTTCTGCTCGGTCAACATCTCATTTACTCAACAAATGCTCTGTTTTCTCTTCTTCTTCTTCAGAATCCGAAATTCATCAGAGTAATTCAAAAGAACAGCTTGAAGACCAACCCACAAACACCATTTTCATTGATCGTTCTGGACTCTACAATACCCCAGGTAGCTCTGTCAGCATCTCTCCATCTCTATATTCCTATCATTTCACTTCTTTTTCGTTAATTCTTTGTGTTTTTTGGTTGGGTGTTTTAGAGCATTCTCATGAACCTTCCTCGGACTCTGAACTTGTCAAGCATCTCAAAGGCATTATTAAGGTTAGTAAAATTGGTCTCTTTTGATGTAACAAATTGAAGGTTTTGTTACTTTTGTAGTTAAAGTAATATCGTCAGTTCAATGCATTGAAACTCATCAACATTACCTGTCAACTGCTGCATTTAACTAGTATCATTAGGACACTCGTTAGCGAAAACTCATGAACTTAAACTCTTAATGTTTCTTTTTAGTACTTGAAAATGTGGCTTTTGTGCTTTTAACACTGAGCTTTACTGCTTGTGAATCTTGTCAGTTTCGTGGCGGGCCAAATATATGGAAGAAGTACTAACAAATTGCAAGACTGTGTTCTATATTAACCGGGATATCTTTGGAACTGAAGGAGATTTCACAACATCTCCTGAAGTAAGCCAGATGTTTGGAGAGGTAATTCAATTTCTACTGAATTTGTGTATGTGAACTGTGAAGGAATATTCAAGGAGACAGTTAATTTTATGTTTTTTCCTACTGGCATATTCAGATGGTTGGTGTTTGGGCTATGTGTTTATGGGAACAAATGGGACAACCAAGCAGAGTGAACCCGGTTGAGCTTGGCCCTGGCCGAGGAACTCTTATGGCTGATCTTCTTCGTGTATGATAGCCGGTTATATTTCTCTGTCAAATTTCCTTCTAAATGTAAAAGACATGCAAGGTAGTGCTTTGAAGTTTTGTTTAATTAGTTTTATAAGGACTCCATTTGGTCAGGTGTCAAATAAGTGTTTGGTTTTTTTCTTCTAGAGTGCATCAAAATTTAGTAACTTCACGGAGTCATTGCATATACACATGGTAGAATGCAGCCCAGCACTGCAAAAGCTTCAGCACAAAAAATGTCTGGATGAAGATAAAACCAGTGAAGGTGTTGAGAAAAGGTCTCCAAGCACACTGGGTGGAACACCTGTGTCATGGCATGCTGCACTGGAACAGGTTCCATCAGGATGTATGGCATTAACTTCTAGATTTTTTTCTCTAAAAACAAGATATGCATGCCCTTTAGTTTATGAAAACAGTTCAGTTATCCTATAGTTTATGGATCGGGTTAAACAATAGCTTTCTCTGTTCTTTCCTTGATTCTTTTATTTGTTTGCATATGTTGCAGCGCCCACTATAATAATTGCCCAATAGTTCTATGATGCACTGCCAATCCACCAATTTCAGGTTTGTCTTGTTCATTTTGATGCTAGAACTGAATGAATAGCTGTTGTTTCTGTCACAGACGCTATCCATCAGTAAATGATTGCTCCTGCTGGCTGAGCCTCGGATCATCAATATTAAATCCCTGGCTCTTAAAAAAATGATTCATAGATTTTAATTTTTAGACAGCATTTATCTGGTTAGTGTCATTATGTGAAGTTTCTGTAAATATTTGCAGCTTACTTGATTAAACAGTTGAGACATTTTGTTTTTGCCTTAATACTTGCCATTTAAATAATCTGTTATCATGCTTTGATAAAATTGTAAAACACAAGTTACTTTTCCATTGTCTATTTACTGATCATTAGATAACAGAGATCATGAATAATTTCACAGTAATTTGAGCAGTATACAACATAATATACATCTAGTCATGTATGATGTGGACTAAGTTAATAATTTTATGCTTTGAACAATCACTGGAAGCTATATAACTTGGAAGTTTTGAGTTTGGTATATATATTATCAAATTGTTACCTAGTCATGATGAGTTGTTGTCTTCCTCTTTAAGTGAGACAAGTTTTTAATCTTGTACTGAAAGTTTTCTAACTTTACTGTACATTATATAGCTTGTGCCATTTCATATGCATCTCTGATTAAAGAACTTCTCTGCAGAGGGCTTCTCGTGGCTGGTGTGAGAAAATGATATATGTCATTGAAGATTCATCGTAAGAATTTGGCATCTACTTTGACAATACTTCAGTCAGTTTACTAATTTAAGGAGTCTGCTTGTTTGATACTTTCTTATATAATGTGGTTAGGTTTTGTTTTGTTTTATCTCCACAGCCTACAGCTGCAACTCTGTACCTATGAAGCGCTGCAAGTGGGCTGTGCCCGAAGAAATAGAGAAACTTAATCAAATCGAGGTTTGCCCCAAAGCAATGGACTTAACTCACACACTTGCAAAGAGAAAAAGCGCTGATGGAGGAGGAGCTCTTATTATTGATTATGGTCTGAATGGAGTAGTGTCAGATAGTCTGCAGGTCTAGTTCCTCACATTGCATCAATTATGCGCCGAAAGCCTGGACAATTAACTGATCCTTGATTTTGTCACGTTAGCAGTTATAAATTGTTTTTCGTCTCCTTTTCCCTGATTTCATACTCATAACCACTAGTAAATTTGTCCAGGCGATTCGAACAAGTTTGTTGACATACTAGACAACCCTGGGAATGCTGATCTCAGCGCATATGTTGATTTTGCTTCCATCAGGCACTCTACTGAGGTAGCTTCAGGTTTGCATCCTCATTGTATTGGTTGTACTAGTTGTAGTAGCATATTTCATTCTGAAAGGCGTTAAGAATTTGTTACTGAAAGAAAACTGTAAAGATTAATTTCATGATTCCAACATGTTTTCAGATGGTGTGTCTGTTCATGGCCCTATTACTCAGTCCCAGTTCCTTGGTTCCCTTGGAATAAATTTCCGAGTCGGAGCCCTGCTACAAAACTGCACATATGAACAAGCTGAATCACCAAGGACCGGATACCGGCCGTCGGTGGGTGAAGGTGAAGCCCCCTTTTGGGAGGGACCAGATGAGCAGGTGCCTATTGGGATGGGTACACGTTACATGGCAATGGCCATTGTTAACAAAAAGCACGGCATCCCAGTTCCATTCCAATGAAGTTTTTAAACAGTCTTGTCAAGTAGCCATATGTTTTGCAGTCAGAGATTTGTAGACCCTTGCCTTGAGAGAAGATGCATTGACAAGATACAAGTTGTCCAACTCACTTCTGCAAATTGCTGACTTCTCGAGGTAGCAACAATGGATGGAAATTTTGCTGTATATATTATATATAACACTTGCTCATATAGAATACAGATTAAAATTCGAATTAGGTAATTTATAAATAATTAAAATATGTTGATAATTATTCATGAATACTTATATGTAACAAATCAGAAAATGTGATCCCTCCTTTGTTAAAAAAATTAATGATTTTTTGGTACCAAATTTTGTCCAATAATGAGTAATTTTATATTGAAAATTGTCTAAAAAACATATTTAAACTCAATTTGTATTAAAAAATGTAATTAAAAGAAAATAAACGTACTAACATTATTAATCCTCTATCTAATTTATATAAAATTCAATGAACATTCTCAAAATATTTATTATTAATAAAATAAAATAATTATTAAAATTATTAATTTTAATGACCAAATTTTAATTTGAAATTTTTAACAAAAAATTTTAAATAAAAAAAAACTTAATTAAAAATAATTGATTACATAATTATACGAAGATATCGAAAATTTTCTGGACACCTAAATTTTTGCAAAGAAAAAGGATAAAACCGAAACTTCCTTGTTGTAGCCGTCTTCCGCTGTACCTTGTCCTCAGTCCTCAAAATTTTTTTATTCGATTCTTTGCTTTGAGAAAAGAAAAGGAAAAAGGGAAGAAAAGAAAAAAAGAAAAAAATGGGTTCGTTCTTCTCAAGCTTGTTAGGCTATTCCGATTCACCATCAGAAGATTCATCATCGTCTTCAGGGGTCTTGACCTTCCATTCATCTCCCAGATGGCAGCTTCACTTCAACTCTGTCAAAGAAACCCCAAATCTTGTACCTTTCTCTCAACCCCAAATCCAAACTTTTGTTCTTTTTTTCTAATAATTATTTTTGAGGTTTTGATTATTGTATGAAAGATCTGAATATGGGTTTCTGTTGTTTTTGGTTAAAAAAATGGGAGCAGATGGTTATAGATTTCTCAGCTTCCTGGTGTGGGCCATGCAAGTTCATGGAACCTGCTTTGAATGACATGGCTGCTAAGTTCACTGAAGTTGAGTTTGTAAAAATTGATGTTGATGAGCTGCCTGTATGTATTCTGTCCTTTCCTTTACATATAATTTTTAAGTAACTTGTCAAGGTGCTTTTAGTATTCAGGATTTTGATAATTTGCTAATGCTGTGTTTGGAAAGATGAATTTGGGAGAGTGAATTTAGGTTTAATTTTTTGTATAATTTGTGAGAATGAAATGTGCACACTATGGAGAAATTAGTTAAATTCTCAAATAAATACCAGCATCCAACAAATCTATGAATTTGAAAATAATCACAAAGGTCTTATTTATATGTATTTTTCATACAATTTATTATACTAAATTTGAAATCCAAATCTTTTATCTCAAATTCAAGTTCTCAAATGTAACCTAAGAGTACTCTCTCCTTTTATATGCATAATTTATAAGTAATTTTTAGGAGTTCATTTACTACAAAATAATGGAAAATATATGATAAATCTTAAAAATTCTGATAACTTGTTGGAATGCCTTTGCTACAGTATCAATATTTGGTGTACTGAATGCACCCTTAAAGGAGTTGAGCTAGGACAATATATTTGATCATTTGGTCTGTAAACGTGCAATGTAGATTGAAAGGATATACATTTTTGAGAGGTTGTTGAGCATTTTATTTATTTATTTATTTCCTTGGTTTTCATTGTTGATTCTTTTTTGGTTGTTGGTGGGTTTCCAGGACGTGGCACAGGAATTTGGGGTGCAGGCAATGCCAACTTTTGTGTTGCTGAAGAAAGGAAAGGAAGTGGATAGGGTGGTTGGAGCCCAAAAGAATGAGCTTGAGAAGAAGGTTGCTAAGCATAAGACCCTCCAAGCTGCTGCTTGAACTTTAAGTTTGCATATTTTCATCAATAATATCTAATGGGGTTTCCTGAATTTGATGATGATAAACAATGTTTTAACTCTTTATTGTGGAACAATGATGGTTTTACTTTGTGGTTGATATCAATGGTCAGATGCTTTGTTTTACATTCATCTTGTTTGTGTGTTTCTCTGATTTCGCATATTGCATTTGGTATCTCCAAATTCAGCTTATTGAATTTGAAATATGAGTGATAGATATTTAGGTCATTGCCCCAAAGGTATAAGAAATCCTTATATGTAACATCTTTGCTCAAGCAAGTAGAGTGACCATGATAGAGTTCTGAGGTCCTCAAAGCTTGCTGCTCTATCAGTACTCCCCGAGATCAGGTTTCATCATATTAGGAATAAGTGTTTCTTGAGGGGGTCTTAAAGTAGAGGGATTCACTCTTTTGAGGTTTCCAGAGCAACTCTTTCTCTGTTCTTTCTGTTTTGTCCTCCTCTGATAGGAAGAGAGGCAGATGCAACATTGAAATGAAATTGTATGAAAAAGAAGTAGATAGAACAAGGGCCGAAATAACATTGATGCTATAGAAAAGAAGAGTCTTTCAGGAAGATGATGGATGTAAGCATATAGAAAAGCAGTTTGTGCATTGTGCATCAGGATTACAAATTACAGCAGCAGCATATGTAAAACATGTAGGAGCAAAATGTTGGATGTCTTCTTAGACAGTGTATGCTTGCGGAATTGTGTCTATGTCAAGACCCTTGAGTCTAACCACTGATTCGACATGCCCTTTCAGCGTTGTCAGTTCTCTGAACCTGCAATGGAAAATGCAAATGATTAGCATTGATCAGACTTTATCAGTAACCACCCATTACCCCTCCTGGAACAACCCCTTCAGAAACGCATCTAGTTTGCTATATCCATGTCTTTCTCTGCTCCAAAAAGTATCAAATTATCAACTGGTTGGCCATTCATCAGATGAGAATGACAATTAGAACCCTTGATGCCCTTGCATTTTATTCATTAATGGATCCTGCAGCTTAAGAGTATAAAAAAGGGTTGCAAGTGATAGAGTTTTAAACGTAAAACCTATTAGATGTCTTTTATTAAGGGTGGTTACATGAACTAATTTAACTGGAAATTTTTTTATGCATTTTAATCAAGCATTGACATTTTCTATTTGAAAGAAATGTTAAATCCGTCCATGGAATTGGCTATCATTTTATGTGCCATTGTACAGAATCCAACTTACAATATTCTAAGCAGAAACCAGAAAATCTGGCTTGGTAAGCCCCTAAAAGTTGCCCTTTAACATCAAGTTGAATATCTTTGTAAGCATAGAAGAGGGAAAGGGAAAACAATGAAAAAGCTGATCGCAACTTCAGTGTTAGCTTATTGTTAATAGATACATACCTTGCAATTTCAGCTCGCCTTTTTGCATCTTCAGCCATCTGATTAAGTTCTGTAAAACTGGTGCGGTCGCTGAACATCTTAGTGTCAGGTGCCTGCAGCCCATGGAGGGTCCTTTGAGCATGTGCCCATTTTAGTTCACGTTCTTCCTTCCCAAAGTCTTTCTTCCTCGTGAAAGCAATCTGCAAAAACAACCAACCAAATGAAACATGCAGCAAGCAACCAACAAAAACTGCTCCAGAAGTTTGAATACATACCCTTTGTTCAATGACAAGATCCCAAGCCTTCCCGCTGAGGGCATATCGGATGAAGAACTTGATGAAGTCGAGTGGAATATAAAAGATAAGGTTGTAAAGCCAAATCACGCCTGCCCAACGCCATCCAATTCCTTCAATCTCAGCAAAGCTCCAGTTTGCGTAAACAGCAATCAGTGTAGCAATCTGTTCATGACAGAAAACCAACAAATCAAGAATAGTTCGTTTTTTTTTTTTTTTTTTCATAACTCAAGATTGCAAGAAAAAAAACCAGTAGTTTACTAACCAGCTGTGCAACAACAAAAGCTGTTACAAGTAACAGGCCAGGGCGCTCAACAAAAGACCAACTCCTTGCTCTCGTTACAAATATGAGAGCCTGACTTATAATGCTCACTTGCAGGTATATTGCTGAAGCAAGCTTTCCATTGTCATTATGAAGGCTTGAAACCTTAAATTTGTGCTGAAAAAAACACATTATCATACTAAGCAAAAGCAAATAGCAGAAAAGATCATAATTGATTAAAATGTAATGCCAATTCTAACGTAATTAGTCCATACAAAAGCGGATGAAACTTAATTTTGTTACTATTAATGTGAAAACTATCATCTTACAGTAAAGAAGTCTGTACTGTATGCTGCCCAAAAGAAAATGACAGTCATCATAGCTAAGTAACCACCAAGTATGATTCCAGTAGCAAAGATTTCTGCCAACTTCCAGCTGTCTGGCAGAGGAGATGGTTTTACCCTATCCTTGGATATTGTCATAATGGTTCCTGGCAGACCAACGGTTTTGTTAGCAACAAATAACTAGAAAATCCAACATTCCATATCATTTGAGCATACTAAATAGAATAAGAGAATGCAGTTTTTGCATACGAAGACAAGCAATACAAACCATCATTAAGTATAGCAATAATCAGCACCATGAAGGGAGGGAAATCAAACTGCCATATCAAGGCCAGTAACATGAAACCGAGCTGTCAAGCAAGAGGGCAAATGACGGTGCAGTATCAAGTTAGAATCAAGCTACTTTGGGAGGAAGCCATTAACACATTCATATAGAGCTATTTTAGCACAAAAGTAACAACACTAAACAAAATTGTCAGAATGCAATATTTCAAAGCCAATGCCAAAACTTACCACAATACGGATTGTAATGGAAACTGCATATATCTGCAAAGATGAAAGAAATCATATGATCACTTTTCGTTAATTGTGAAAGTGAAGGAGATAATAATGCCTGAAAACCCATAACCACTTGAGTTCATGACAAATGGAGTGGCATGAGGATTGAGTGCCACAGGACAGGCCAAGTAAAACCTATTTTTTAAGTTGAATTACTCGAGCTGACTAAGTAGTATGCTTAGGACTTAAGAGAACTGCCTGACTTACGCCTAATTCCAGATGCTCCTATCACATCTCACGGCCATGGTCCATACTCACCGTGTAATTCTTCATCCTCTGGAATATAGCCCGGCTAGTTAGTACAGCACTGATTATAACACTAAGACCAGGTTCTGTCAAGACAATGTCCGAAGCACTACGAGCTGCATCAGTTGCATCAGCAACAGCTATGCCAATGTCAGCCTTCTTAAGAGCAGGAGCATCATTGACCCCATCACCAGTCATTCCACATATATGTTTCCTGGCTTGCAAGCGCTTCACGATCTCATACTTGTGCTCTGCACCAACAATTAAATGAAAGTCATATAAGCAACGAGAGCAGAAAGAAGCACATTCTAAAAACCAAAATCAAGTACGATGTTATCCATATATTGCATCTAACCATCACATCAGTCGCTAAGCATAGAACTCGTTGTCCAGTGGTTTCAAGATGTTTCAAAAGAGGCACTACAGGTTTAAGTGTGTCTTTGAGATTTTAGGCACAGCTTGCAGATGATTTTTGCACGCAAATTTCAAGATGGAAAAGGAAAAAGTGAAGATACCAGGGAAAACACCAGCAAAACCATCGGCTTTTTCAATCAACTCATCAACTGGCAATGCAGCAATAGACTCATCTTTGTTTTGTCCTAACAAGGCTGATGAAGGATACATGTTGGTTCCCATTCCCAGACGGCGTCCTGTTTCTTTTGCTATTGCCAGTTGATCACCTAATTGTTATTGGAAAGATCAAGACGAAGCATCAATCAGTAGTGAAAACAAAGTAAAAGCATTTACTAAGTAAATTGAGACAGTTTGAAGCAGCATCAATATCAGGTTATGCACCAGTGATCATTTTCACGTTCACTCCAAGGTTCAATGCCCTTCTTATTGTCTCTGCACTGTCATGTCTAGGTGGATCAAACAAAGGCATTAGACCAATAAATTCCCATGGACCTCCTGAGCTCTCCTTCTTTCCATCAGGAACTTCCTGCACATTGATTGATAAATATAACCAAGTACATTATCAATTTTGTTGTAAAATGTAACCGGGACAGAACCACTTAATTATAGGACAAAAAACAAGATTACAAAAAATATACCTGACGTGCTACTGCAAGTGATCTTAATCCACGCTCTGCAAACTTATCAATCACCGTATGAACTCTACGGTCCAACTCTGACTTATTGTGTGCAAGATTCAAAATCTAATAATCAAACCACAGGAATGAATTTCTTCAAATCGCATTGCAAAACGGTCAAAATACATAAAGCACTGCTAATGATGAGCCTACCTGTTCAGGTGCACCTTTGCCGACCCGGTGCATTATACCTTGATTGTCAATGTATGTCAGAGCCGTTCGCTTATCAGTTGGATTGAATGGAAGGAAATGAACTTCTTGAATACCAGCTCGTGCCTAGGCAGTTGTTTTTTCCAGCAAAGAAACCAAATTAACAGGGAAAAAAAAAAAAAAAACTCAAACTTGTAGGATATAATTTTGTTTTTCTTCTTGCTCTCTCTGTAGTGTAAGCAACAGAAATCAAAATTCTATTCTAGCATACTGAAAAAGGTACATAACATCGAGCAGCATACCTCCTTCGGATCAGCCAGCATCCCCACTACAGCAGCATCTATGGCATCCTGGTTTTCCAGCCGGGAAGCACGTGCTGCCATCAGAACGACAGTATCTGGATCTACTCCTTTCGCAAAGATCTATTCAGTAACATCCACATAAATGTTGGACCAGGCAATAAAATCAGAAGGCTACAAATGAAACATGAAGCAATTGCCAACCAACCTCAATAAGACTTTTGTCAATTGACAACTTGTTCAATGTCAAAGTTCCAGTTTTGTCACTACAGAGGACATCCATGCCTGCCATTTCTTCTATTGCTGTCATTCTCTTTGTGATAGCACCCTGAAATGACAAATTATTATCAGCAAGATTAAGATATGATCATTAATCATCTAAGATAACAAACTCCCAAGACTAATTAAAACAAACCTGGAGAGATAAGCGATGGGACCCAATTGCCATTGTAACAGATAGAACTGTGGGCATGGCAATAGGAATTCCTCCAATAAGAAGTACCAGTAAATTGTCAATTCCTGGACGATATTTACGGTGTTGAATTGGGTACATGACAATGATTTCTGTTATCATCCCTACCGCGATGGAACATATGCAGAAATTACCAATGGCAGTCAACACCTGTTAAGCAAATCCCAAAAAAAGCATTTTAATGAATAAAACAATGCAGAAGAACACAGAAAAGTTAAATTAAACAATAAGGTATTGTTTTTGTTGCAGCTCTTAGACCTTTTGAAAGTGACCCTGTTGATTTGTAGAATCGACAAGGTGAGCAGCCTTGCCAAAGAAGGTATGAACACCCGTCGCAATCACCACAGCCTCAATCTCTCCTTGTTTGCATGTAGAACCTGAGTAAATACTGTCACCAGGGCCTTTAGTTACTGGAAGAGACTCACCCGTCAACGCAGACTGCATTGTGAAACAGGGGAGATTAAGAAATAAACTTCAACAAATTCAATTTCAATTCAGCTTCAGCCAACAGAGCAATGAATCTATTAAGGTCGCAAAAGAACCTGATCAATTTTAAGTGGATCACCATCAAGGAGCCGAGCATCTGCAGGAATAATGTCCCCAAGTTTAATACTGATTATATCACCTGGAACAAGAATGGAGGAATCCTCCTCAGTCCATTTCCCATCTCGAAAGACCTAAAATCATCCATTTTGCAGGTCAGTTTAAAGTACTATGAAAAACATGAAGGCTCATGCATTCATTACCTTAGCTTTAGGAGCAAGACGAGCCATGAGAGCGGCAGCTGCATTGCCAGCATTGTTCTCTTCTATGAAACTTATTGTCGAATTAATAAAAAGAAGAGTTGTAATCCCAACAAAATCTTGCCAGTCAGGAGGTTTCCCCTGTAAAAGAATGATAACATCATTCAAGAAAGTCCTTAAGTAATTGCATAAACAAAAAAAAAAAAAAATTCATTGTATGACTTATTATAGGGAATTTTTTTTTTTCGGTTTGAGGACAAAAACCAACTTAAATTATTGAACAATCATTAAATATATACTCACTCCTCCATTGGCAAGAGCTATGGCCATGACAGCTGCAGCTTCCATAACCCATGAGAGAGGATTCCACATAAACCCCAAGAACTTCAAAATTTTACTCTCCTGCAAAACCATAAAAAAAAAAAAGAAGAAAAAAATTAGTTTCTAGAAGATTTCAGGAGAACTATAAGTTTTCAAATAGGCTCCAATAAGCAATAACTCAGTCCATAAACCTTAATAATCAGTTCTATAAACCACCCTGTTAACTGGTCCTTGTTCTCAAAAAAATCACAAAAAGATATTGATTTAAAAAGAAATACAAATAAAGGTTCTTTTGTAATTAGTACCTGTTTTTCCTCAAGCTTGTTATAGCCGAAAATAGTAAGCCTTTGCTCAGCAGCTTCTGTGGTTAGACCATCTTTGTTACACCTCAAAGTCTCAAAAACCTCTTCAAGTGGTACATTTTCCTACACTCAAAAGGTTCAAACTCATTAAAAATCAGAACAAAACACAAATCCCAGAAAAAAAATCTTAAACCAAAAAATAATAATAATAATAAAATTAACCAAAAAAAAAAGAAAAACAGAGCAATTTCCTCTTTTAGATAAGTATGAAGTATCATACCAAATCAACAGCTTCCTTCAGCACAGCATCCAAAGTCTCATCCTTGTTATCCATATCAACAAACTTAGTCCTTTTAAACCTCAAAAAATCAAGTACGTAATCATCAAAAGGCTAAAATTTGAAGAATTAAAACGCAAAGTGAATCAGAATTCAGAAGGCAGGAAACACAGTACTCTGTTTTGTATATGTCTACCTTAAAGTTTGGTTATTATTGTTTTATTGTCACACCAGAATCTAAAAAATGTCAGCTTTTTAAAGGGTAGGATTGTTCCAAGGTGGACAGAAACAGAGTTAGATCATGCACTTGGCGGGTACAATCTGTGCCTATTATATCCTCATTATTTTTTTTTCAAAGAAGAAATTTAGGTAATTCAAATGAGGACACTTGGCGGAAGGACATTATTTTGTTTTAAGTTGGATGCTCTTTTGACCATTTTGTCCCTTCCCTTACTTTCTTTCCTTTTGTTTTTTATTAAAAAAATTATTTTTTATACATTAGTATGCCTATTTTTTAATATAAGTTATGAGATATGAGTATTTTAATTTTTTTTGTAAAATTTAAAATTTTCACTTCATGAGATAATTTAAAAAAAAAAAATCAATATGTCATCTACATTGGCAATAATGAAATTTTAGGAAGTTTATAGGGGTTCAACTATTTGGGAAAATAGAATTAATATTAACATTGAAATTATTATAAATTATAATGAATAAAAGGTTTTTTTATTATTCTTTTCATCTTAAAATATTTATCATATATTGATTTTTATGAATTTTTAAAAAAATTAATTTTAATATATTTTAAAAAAAATTTTATAAAATTTAAGTTTCTTAATTTTTAATATCAAAAAGTAAAAAAAATCATAAAAAATAAAATTCAATTATAAAAAATATGAGTTTTATATATTTTAAAAAATAAAATATAATTTTAAAACATCTTAAAAAAAGAAATAAAGGGATCATGTAAGAGATGTTTTTAAGCAAGCATATTCTTTAAATGGACTTTATTGTTTTCTTTTTTTTTACAATTTCTTCACATTTTATGTATGCTTTTGAATTTCCAAGCCCATTCTTAGATAAATAATAAATCTTATATTTTTTCCCTTAATTTTAAATACTTGAACGGTTAGGTGAAAATATAAAAATAACTTAAAACTTAACTTAATTAATTTATATAATTAAAACGACATTCAATATATTTGAATTTTAAATTTTAATATTTATAATATCTTTTTTTATTCTCAAATTATAATTTTTTTAATTAAAAAAAGTATAAAAAAGAAAATAACCTTTAAGTTTAACACAATGTAGAGCTGATTTCTTGAAAAAATATGAATCATACAATATTTTGTAAGACTACGGTCTTAAAATTATTCGAGAAAAAGATTAAAGCCGAATAAAATTTTAATAACGTATTATAAAAAATAAATTTAAATCCAATGCAATACATTTCAAGACATCTTTAAAAATTTTTTGCTTCTAAAATAAAGTACCAACCATGTTATTTATTTTTCTTTCGTTATTTTCTTATAAAATAATTAGAAGCGGGAATTCAAAATTTTTCTTTAAAGAAAGAAGAAATCTCAAAACATCTTTTTCAACTCTTAATTGGACTATTTATTTCCTATTTCACACGACATCTATTTGACAGTAGGGCAGCAACATTACAACTCAATCAAATGATATGGACAAGCAAATTATGTGAAACTTGTCCAAGTTAGAATAATTTTAGGAGGTCCTAGATGGATGAAATGAACTTTTCAACCCCTTTGCCCATTTTTGGCCTTTTATTTTTGTTATTATTATTATAATTTTTATTCTTGTAGTAGGAATTGAACTTGGTTAACAATTAATCCAAGTGTGCACAATTTAGAAAAACTTCATTAAATTAAAAAAAAAAAAGCTTAGAAGAGTTTGACAAATTTTTTTTGAGCATGATAAATTGAAAGATTTAGGTGTTAATAAATAAAGAAAATTTGAATCAAGATTTGGGATCAAAATAATTTTTCACAACAAAAGATTTAAAGGGTTTAAAGGATGGGGAAAGCTTTCTATTTGATAACCAAGAAATTAAGTTAAAATAAAAGGAAAAAATTTGCAATATGCCACAAAATTTCTTGTGATGACTTTGCAATTATAGGAACAACCACTCCAATACCCAAATTTTCAAAAGAGTTTGTTAGTTCACAATAAATTCAAAAAACCCATTAAAGTTTGGAATTTTCAAAAGAGTTTGTTAGTTCACAATAAATTCAAAAAACCCATTAAAGTTTGGTAGATAAAGCTATGAATTAGACATAAACATGAGAACATCTATAAGTTTTAATATTTGAAGGTTTCTCATTTATATTTTTATTAAAACTTGATTTAATGTGGTTGCTTAGCTAAGAAATAGAATACGAAAGGTTGTCAATAATCGTATGATTTGCTGGTAATGTGTTAAACTCTTAGCTACGGTTATCAGAATTTAAATATTAATAACTTCAAATATTAAAAAAAAAAAAGAGAGATTGACCAATGTATAATAATCTTTTCTTCATATACATCAAATGTTCATGTCTTTATTAAAAAATAATATAAGAAAATTTCAGTAAGGCTATAATTAGACAATAAATCTCTCCTTATTAGGATTGTAGAAACCCTTAAAAAGTAAGGGTTAGAGGCATTACTTCGGGGATTGAGCTATAATGTAATAATTAATCATGGACTAATATGAATGAAAGAGTGCAAAACACAACTTAAATCAATTTGTCATTTGGGTCTAAATCAAATTATTGAAATCTTTTAAGGATTGAAATTTTAAATGCCAATAACAATGTTTTTCTCTTGTACGAAAAGAAAACTCAAAAGCTAGTATGTTTTTATATTTGAGCATTTGATTAACTCATTGATGTCCTTATACTAAAAGAGTAAGATTCTAATCACTCCTTTCTCATGTAAAAAAATATATATATATATATATATATTTTTGTTATTTTTTTGGTTATAATAACCAATAATCTATTAAAAGTAGCAACATTATTGATGAACTTCATTCGTTCATGAATAAAATCTAAACTTTCGTTGTTATAATTAATAACTATATGATTTCTTGATAGATTATTAAACTTTTAATTTTAGTGATTAAAATTTAATCTCTCGTAATTTCAAGTGTAAAAAAAAAAAAATTTGTTGTTAAAGATGTTCTCAAAAACAAAGGTGACAGGTTGAGCAAAATTGATAACTTTGACAAGTCCTTCCAATCTATTTGAAAAGAGAAAAAAAATAATAATTGAATAAAAAATAGCCATAAGAAAATATAGGAAGAGTCCCATTGAATTCAACTAACTTGACACTCACAAAGTCCCAATAGTCATTGTCATTTTTTCCTTTCTTTCATAACATTTTCTCTTCTTCTTATTGACTTTTTTTTTTTTTAATGTAATTTCATCATTTTGATTTTGAGTTGATATTTCCAAGCAAATAATTAACATTGTTTGGTTAATTATAATTTGACAATATAATAGAGTTGCTAAGCTTTTGATACATCTAAGAAACCTCTATTTATTTTTTATTTTAGAATGAGTTGAAGACACCATTTGGGTCAAATTTCTTATTCCTAAGTATCGGTCTAACCATCAAAGTGAAAATAGTTGTTCGATACTTAAGATTTAATGTTAAATTAAGAAAAAATTATCCTGATTCATCATCGATAACGATAATTATTTCATATATAATTCATAAAATTTTTAGATTTTATAACCTTATTTAAAATATTTTTTAATAAAAAATGTGACAGTTTTTCATTAGTGCATGAGATAACTTTTTTATATAATTCAAGCTTAATAAATATTTTGGAGTAGGAAAAATATAGAGTTTCTTTATTATAATAATATTATTATTATTTGTACGTAAAGAGAATCTTTTGAAACACATTTTAGTGGTTTAATGTCTATGAAAAATCAATATTTTGTTGCTGCCAAATGGAAAACTTATAGTCTTATACACATTAAAAAAAAAAAAAAATCCATGAGGTTGTTATCAAGGCCTCCACGATTGGAATGCTTTTTTATTAAATAAAATAAGAAAAGAAAGGACAATAATAAAATAAAAAAAGATTTTATTTTAAGTCACCTAGGTGGTAGGTTTTGATTTTTGTCGTGGAACTGACTATTTCTTTTGATAAATTAAATTTTATTTATTTTCTATAGAGTTATACAACTGTACTAAGCGCAGGAAAACATAGTTGGATTTCTTTTTTTTTTTTTTTATTAAGTAGTTGAATTTCCTTTTTGTATAAGTTCATTTAGGAACAATTCAACTGTTGATTTAAGCCTTAACTGGTTTTTTTTTTTTTTTTTTTTTGCCTCTTATTGTTACGGATCTATCGTTTAAAAAAAATTTTAATGGATCTAATATATATATATATATATTTGAAGATTAAAATTTTTATATATAAAATAAATAGGTAGATATAAATTTTTTATTAACTTGAAATTTGATTTAAATCTATATGAACAGAGTTGAAATACAATAATCTAATTAAATAAATATAAATCATATAATAAATTATAAAAGGATATACATAAAACTAAATTAATTTTACGAACCTAATAAGTTATCTGATTCATGAACAAATTTACTTTTTACGTAAAAATTAAAAATGTTCATGGATTGAGTGATTTAACCAAATTCACATGTTTTGTTCTAAATAAAAATTTTAAATTTGGACTGGACTTGAGATATTATTATATTATAAAAATATTTTTAATTAAAATTTTAATTTTAAAATATAGTTAAAATATAAATTTTTATGTTTTAATAATAAATTAATTTAAATGAGCTAAATTGATAAATCAAATCTAAACTTAACTTTTTTTAAAAATATCAACATAAATGCCTGGTTTGGTTCATAAACACTTTTGCTTTTACCTTAAGTTAAAATTAGTAATAATTTAATAATAGTAAAAACAAACAATTGATTGAAAGATACTAATATCTCACAAGTCTAATTAGGGTATGGCAAAATTTTACCCACTTCCATTATCATATAAGCAAGGAAGAACAAATTAATC